CACACACTCTCTCTCTCAAACACAGACACACACACAAACACAGAAAACTGACACACACACACACACACACACACACACACACACACACACACACACACACACACACACACACACACACACACACACACACACACACACACACACACACACTTTTGGCATTTTAAAAGACGTTTGGTTAGAATAGATTTGTGCTACTGTCTTTCTCTTCTCCTTCAATTCAACTGATTTTGATTCAGTTCAATTCAATATATTCTTCTATTGTTTACAAAATGTTCGCTTAAGCTTGTAGATAAGAAAATAGGAGACAAGCAAGGATCTCATGGCAGTAAAGACCTCAAATATTTGAGTGTAGAAGAGACGATTTATGAAAACATTTAGTTTTTTCATGCAGTGGTTAACTTTGGGAGATATTTAGCTTCATTTCTTGCCTGGTTGCCTTGTTGCCTTGATGCCTTGTTGCCTTGATGCCTTGTTGCCTTGTTACCTTGTTACCTTGATGCCTTGTTTCTTTAAGCCATGGTTCTGTACGTATTTGTCTTTATTTGTATTAAATATATGAATACTAATGTGTACTTCTTTTCTTTGTTATTGTTGCATGCTTTATGTAGCTGCTCTGCCACTTATGCTGTAACACTGCTGTGGGACTAATGAAGGAATTCTAATAAGTCCACGTTATCTAACAAGAGGGTTAACTCCTCATGCTTTTATTTTGTAAAACCTGAACAGGAAGTCTGTGATTTCTCTCCCCTCATGGTGGTGAGGGGGGCTCGGTGTGTTTCCATTTAATAATCCACATCTCAGTCCCGGAGAGCTGCTGCAGCACGGAGCGACATTTCTACTGAAAGTGAAGAAAAAACAGCCAAATCAAAGCCAGAAGAGCAGAGGAAACCCCACCAGGTAAATGGAAAGACTCTCCTGCTGCAGACACACACCACACACACCTGATTCAATCATAATTATGCATAAGAAATCTGTGTCGGATTTAAAGTGTCGTCGTTTATTTCTCACCCTGAGGTGGCTGGGTCAAGTTAACCTCCTGCGACTGATGGGTTTCATTCTCATTTTCTGCTCAAATCCCTGGAACTTTCTGGTGTTTTTTGTTTCTGTTTTTGCACGCAGAGCTTCTGTCCGTGTTACATATATTACAGGATTAAAGTAGCTGTTTGTTGTCAGGATTAAATGAGAGGATAAAGCAGCTTCTCTCGGAAGAAGACTTCCAGGTTTCCTCTGGTTTAACCCCGGGGCTCTGGAGCCTATTTACGGACTGAGATGTTTCAGCACCGCGGACAGCTCCGGAGCAAAAACACAGATAGAAAAGAGAGGAAATTAGCCATTAAATGTTGATTTATTTAAGCAATTCTTGGTGAAAGTGTCCGTTTTATATCTCTATTTGATTACATATTGTATAGTAGTGTATAAAAGAGCAGTGCTTTGTGAGGATTTCATTCATTTTGGTGCCAAATCAGTGCAGATGTAGCCTTTTTTTCTACAAATGTGCCCGATTTCATCCACTCAATAAATAAATAAATACATCAATAATGGTCTTTTATGTTAAGGTAAATGTATAAAGGTATGTTTAAGACATATTTTGTGTTGCTATAATTAATATAAATGAAGTTACAGGCTAAATTAGCAGCATAACATTGAATTGATGTCATATTTTTCTTGTTAATTCAATTTTTTTTACATTAAGGGGTAATTTAAAAACTACGCTGATGGATATTATAAGGATTTTTAATTCAAATTCCCAAGGTAAATCAAAAGTAGTGCGGAGGTGTGACCAAAAAATCAATTTCTATTTATTCTTTCTGAGTTCACCTTGTGTAAAAACATGGAAACGAGTTAAATTAGATCTGTGGTTTTGAAAGATTATGCCAAAAATCTCCCTTTTCCTCTGATAAGGGGGAGGCATGCAAGCCTTTACTTTTTTTGTTGCTGCGTAGAAGTTTTTTATGGCTGTGAAATCAAGCAGAATGAGGGCAGGGTACATTAAGAGCAAGTCTATAAAAATACCTCCTGCAAATCCAATCTGCTTTATGAAAGATTACCCCTTTCTGTCACATTTTATTGAGCTTTATTTGGATGAAAACTCAGATTTATTTGTCCTTTTATCTGCCTGTTTTTCTGGGAGAGGTGTGTGCTTTTTTAGTTGGACGAAAGCCAATGCACTGCTGTTGTTTTTGTTGTTGTTGTTGTTTGGCAGGCTGTGAGTTTGGCAGCAGTGTTGTTCCTGTTTCTCCATGTGGGGGATAAAGAAACATGTAGTCACAGCTCGGACTCAGTGAAGCACTTCTTCTGAAGTATTTCTATTTAAAACGATCAATAAAAGGTTCAGTTCACAGAACAATCTTAGAAAATGCAGTGTCTTATGATAGGAAGTTTTGAAAACACGAGCATTAAGAATAGGAAACAATCGGTAAAATGCGGATTATTATTCAAGTAAAGGCTTTAAAATCGTTGAATTAGCAACTGTTTTATCTTAAAAATGAACTGTGCATGCATTAGAGGATGAATATACACACTTTTGACCCTCCCTGCTTCCCGTCCTATTACGGGAATGTCATCGAGGACGAAGAGCTCAGACTGACGCTTAAGCAGATCTTTGATTTTGCAGCCTGGTGTTTGTAAGCGTAGAGTAAACAGATACTTTAATGAGGACAGGAAGTGATCAGGAAAAAACATCCAGCCTCGTTGAACCTTTATTTCATTTAATTGTTTATGCATTTCTTTGATTTGTGCTGTAGTTTAATAGAAAGAACGGAAGTTAGACGATAAATAGAGTGCTGCTTAGAAGACGTATTTCTGTAGGCCAAGCAGGAAGTTATCACCCTTATTAAAAACCATTGGAATTTGGGTTAATAAAGAAATTAGCCTCCGTGGCAAACAAATGTTTATGATACTTTTATTAAGCTAGATAATCATCCCAAATAAACACCACTTTTAGTATTTTGAAGCATACAATAAAAGCTAAAGGCAGCTAATGTTAGGATGTAAAGGAACTACAGCACGGTCACATGACTTCACGTCACCACCGCTAAGCTAAAGGTGGCTAATGTTGGGCTATAAAGGAACTACAGCACGGTCACATGACTTCACGTCACCGCCGCTAAGCTAAAGGTGGCCAATGTTGGGTGTGATGACGTTTAGTCGTCTCATTTAGACTCTTGTTAGCAGCACTTTTTTTAAAATGGGGTGTTTACTGACATATTTTATGTCCTAGAACCAACCGTTAAAATCTCACTCAGTAAACCGTTGACTTCCCTGCAGGTGCGTCGGTTGAACCTGTACATGGAGGGCCAGTCGACGCCCTATAACCAGATCCTGGGTCAGTTCACGTTGGACCGCTGCTGGGACGAGTGCATGTTCCGCTCCGAGTACCAACAGCGCCGCACCGCCATCGAACTCTACAACAGGTAACAAGAAGGAGAGAAATCTGGAAATATTTGTACGTTTTTCGTTGGTTAAAATGAACTCTTTCTTTGTTTTTCGCCTCATCAGACAGAACCGATGGACAAAGCGAGGCCTTGCCATCGTTCCAACAAAGTTTGGCATCAGCTTCACCGCCCTCTTCCTCAACCAGGTGAGATCCAACAACACAGACTCACAAACAATGGAAGACTGACATTTGGGGCTTTTAGGACTTCACGAATTCCCGTTATTGTGTGTGTGTGTGTGTGTGTGTGTGTGTGTGTGTGTGTGTGTGTGTGTGTGTGTGTGTGTGTGTGTGTGTGTGTGTGTGTGTGTGTGTGTGTGTGTGTCAGGCCGGCGCTCTGGTTCACATCTATACTGACGGCTCTGTGTTGTTGACTCACGGCGGGACGGAGATGGGACAAGGACTCCACACCAAGATGGTCCAGGTACCTGAACACAGCACCACCATCTAGTGGCCATTAGTGGAGCAGCAGCTTTAGACGCTTCATTTGACTGAGGAGGGTTGAACCCACAAATATAATTGTGTTGTTGGGATTTATTAGATAAGATAAATATATGAATTCAGTAAGATATATTGAAAATAAATGTTCAAAAGGTTTGACTGAAATTACGTAAAAAATAAATAAATATTGAAATTAGTTAAAGAGCATCTTGCAGGAATTATTCGGTACGGGCCCTTCGGTTCGGTACACGTGTGTACCGAAGTGTACCGAACGAATATAACGTTAA